CCACTGTCGGCCCCCACTGTCGCCCCCCACTGTCGCCCCCACCAGACACCACCACCCATCCAAGCCGGGGCTCGAGCCTTGACCCCAACACCAAGAATCACATCATTAGCAACGATGTTCATTTGACTTAAAAATTTGACTTTGTTCATTTGACTTCGTGTGTTTGACACGAGCTGGAAATCGTTAAGATTGTTCAGATAATTTTACAGCAGGTTTCAAGAGGAGAAAAAGAGATGGAATTAACGTTATCGTCATTGTGGTAATGTATGTGAATTAACTTTTTTTTGAGAACTGAAGAACAAAGGTTCTTCAGTTCTGTTCGATGATACGAACGTATCTTTGTTATGTAGAACCACGAAAAAGGCTCCATTATTTGTTGCTAAATGAAGACTTTATTTTAAATAGCAAAAGATATCCAGTTTATGTCGATCTGGCTGTAGTACAAAGCCTTAAGACGCACATAAGTATGGGAATGAAGACATTTGCTTGGTTTAAACTATATTATTGTGCCCGAGGACCAGAGGACTCATCCTCCATATGGGGACACTCCTTGACATGAATTTCGAATCCTACTCGTGGAAAGTTTTTTTTCCCAGTTCGGATTCCAGGAAAGGATTCGTAGCCTACTGGGAATCTTTCATTTAGAAAGCCCTTGCACGGGAAGCTGTAAACGTGGAATGTCAGCCAAGTGGGAAATCCCGAACATGGAAAATCCTCCACATGGAAAACCCTCCACATGGAAAACCCTCCACATGGAAAACCCTCCACATGGAAAACCCTCCACATGGAAAACCCTCCACATGGAAAATCCTCCACATGGAAAATCCTCCACATGGAAAATCCTCCACATGGAAAATCCTCCACATGGAAAATCCTCCACATGGAAAATCCTCCACATGGAAAATCCTCCACATGGAAAACCCTCCACATGGAAAACCCTCCACATGGAAAACCCTCCACATGGAAAACCCTCCACATGGAAAACCCTCCACATGGAAAACCCTCCACATGGAAAACCCTCCACATGGAAAACCCTCCACATGGAAAACCCTCCACATGGAAAATCCTCCACATGGAAAACCCTCCACATGGAAAATCCTCCACATGGAAAATCCTCCACATGGAAAATCCTCCACATAGAAAATCCTCCACATGGAAACCCCTCCACATGGAAAACCCTCCACATGGAAACCCCTCCACATGGAAAATCCTCCACATGGAAACCCCTCCACATGGAAACCCCTCCACATGGAAACCCCTCCACATGGAAACCCCTCCACATGGAAACCCCTCCACATGGAAACCCCTTCACATGGAAACCCCTTCACATGGAAACCCCTCCACATGGAAACCCCTCCACATGGAAACCCCTCCACATGGAAACCCCTCCACATGGAAAACCCCTCCACATGGAAAACCCTCCACATGGAAAACCCTCCACATGGAAAATCCTCCACATGGAAAATCCTCCACATGGAAAACCCTCCACATGGAAACCCCTCCACATGGAAACCCCTCCACATGGAAACCCCTCCACATGGAAACCCCTCCACATGGAAACCCCTCCACATGGAAACCCCTCCACATGGAAACCCCTCCACATGGAAACCCCTCCACATGGAAACCCCTCCACATGGAAACCCCTCCACATGGAAACCCCTCCACATGGAAACCCCTCCACATGGAAACTCCTCCACATGGAAAACCCTCCACATGGAAAACCCTCCACATGGAAAACCCTCCACATGGAAACCCCTCCACATGGAAAATCCTCCACATGGAAACCCCTCCACATGGAAACCCCTCCACATGGAAAATCCTCCACATGGAAACCCCTCCACATGGAAAATCCTCCACATGGAAAATCCTCCACATGGAAAATCCTCCACATGGAAACCCCTCCACATGGAAAATCCTCCACATGGAAAACCCTCCACATGGAAACCCCTCCACATGGAAAATCCTCCACATGGAAACCCCTCCACATGGAAAATCCTCCACATGGAAAATCCTCCACATGGAAAATCCTCCACATGGAAAATCCTCCACATGGAAACCCCTCCACATGGAAAATCCTCCACATGGAAAACCCTCCACATGGAAACCCCTCCACATGGAAAATCCTCCACATGGAAAATCCTCCACATGGAAAATCCTCCACATGGAAACCCCTCCACATGGAAAATCCTAAACATAAACTTCTCACACAGTTAATCGTACCAGTTGTAAAGTCCTACACATAAGACATCCCTCCATGGAAACTCGCACATCAAGTCCTTTACAACAAAATCTTAAACCTGAGACTTTCAACAAGAAAACTCTCTCACAGGCCTACCTGCTGTGCTGCTTGTAGCGAAGACTGGAAGTGCTGTGCCTGCTGTATGGGGCACAAGCTTCTGCTTCACCTGCTGCTATTACGCTAGCTTTCTTACCGCTTTCTCGGGTAACTTAATGGTCTTCCTTCAGGTTGCAAGACCAATTAAAAAATGATCGAAGGGATCGCCACTAAATCTCAGAGAAACTGTAACGCTGCTACTTGTTACTGGAAAAGTCTCCTGATGGCGGAACAGAGCGTGCAGAACTGCCCGAGTGGTGTGAGAGGCAGAGGGGAAAGGAGCCAAACCCTTGCTCCGTAAGTCTAAAGGCGCGTCTGTCTGTTGCTCAACCCTTTACCCTGCGATCTTCCCGCCTACATTCGAACTCGGAAAAAGTCGATTGCGGCTCGTCAGGGGGGCGGAGCTTAGGCTATGACGTCATAGTTGCAAAGCCACGCCTACTACGCTCTGTAAACTGGATTGAGTCTTCATCGGGAGTAAAATTCAATATCAATCCAATTGGAATGATTCAGGTGGATTAACAGCGTAAGATAAACGTCAGTACCCCCCATGCGAACATTGATGTATTGATTGCTAAGCTTAGCGATCAATGACAGACGAGACAGAGCAGCGTTGACAGCCCCAAACAAAACTTTAAGAAAAGCGCCGAAGCTCTCAGACAATCCCGGAGGGCCGCGGAACGTGTGCATGTTGTGGGCGGGTCTCATAAGACCCCAAAAAAAGCAGGTTTAAGTGCATAGATAAATTGAATGGTGAGAGGTGCGGGCGGGCGTGGGCGGACAGCAGCTACTGCCCCTCTATGCCATGAGGGGCAAGCCTCAAGAAATGTCAAATGACGGAGGATAAACAGGTTGAGCAAGGGTCCGTGAATGCTTATGTTGAACTTAAAGGGATTTAATATTGTTATTTGGGTAGTGGTGGAGGGGATGTATAAAATTGATAACGTCATGTGCTACTATTTTCGTCGCTCGGGCGATATTCATGGCTGGCTGGCGAGCACTCTTGATGACGGAGATGGGCGGCTCGTGCGTGGGGGGCTGTGGGAGCTCGTCATTTGTCTCGTGTTGATGTTGAGACACGTGTCTCGTGGTGGTGTTGATGTTGAGACACGTGTCTCGTGGTGGTGTTGATGTTGAGACACGTGTCTCGTGGTGTTGTGGATGTTGAGACACGTGTGCCCCCCCTCCACCCACACACACACACACACACACACACACACACACACACACACACACACACACACACACACACACACACACACACACACACACACACACACACACACACCCCCACCCCACCCCACCCCACCCCCCCCCCCACACCACCCCACCCCCCCCCCCACCCCACCCCACCCCACCCCCCCCCCCCACACACCCCCCCCCCACACACACACACACACACACACCCCCACACACACCCACACCCCCCCCCCCACAACACCCCACCCACCACAACACCCCACACACCACAACCACACCACACCACACCCACCACAACACACCACACCACACCCACCACACCCACCACAACACACCACACCACCACAACACACCACACCCACCACAACACACCACACCCACCACAACACACCACACACACCACAACACACCACACACACCACAACACAACACACCACACCCACCACAACCACCACACACACCACAACCACCACACCCACCACAACACCCACACCACACCAACCACAACACCCACACCACACCAACCACAACACCCACACCACACCAACCACAACACCCACGCATCTCACACCAATTCCTGCCCATCCAATTTCCCCGGAGGCAGAAGCAAGTCAACCTCCGAAGTGTAGCATAGACAGTCGCCCACCACTCAGACACACACCCAAGGATCTCTCCCATTTCCCCGAGTTTACATAGTGATGTAGACCGCAGTGAGCTCAGTATGGCCACAGCTGGAGCCAAACCTTGTAGACGCGGCTGTAATAGTTCCAGCACACACCGGACACCTTCCTGAGCACACACCGGACACCTTCCTGAGCACACACCGGACACCTTCCTGAGCACACACCCTACACCTTCCTGAGCTGGACCGGGGTAAATGCTCTCCTTCCCTGGTGGGATGTTATTGCTGCCTCCTTTGCCGCCTCACGTAGCTATTTTAAAGTGGATGATAATGGATTTTTGTTCTGAAGAGGCGCAGAGGTTATCGAAGCCATATGCTGTATTTGCATTTACAAAATACAGAAATAAAAGGTATTTAAAGTTAAAAGGGTTATGGGCAATGTTTCGATGCTTGAGGTGTCTAGAGGGTTGGTTTTGGCGCGCAGGTCCCTGCTGTAGAGGGGATGAAGAGACGTTTGTTATGGGATTATAGAGAGTGGAGTGAGTTTGTGGTGCGTTGAGACATGGTCTTCGCCATTAAAATGCATGTGGAAAATGGAACTAACGCTCCATTATTCATTCACACGTACGGCATCCTCGACCAAGATACTGCAGATCGTTGGAGATCGATGAAACATTGGGAATACGAGTGAATGATGATGTGTCGTTCCCGCAGAGATGTATAGGTTGCGGGGCCCGCCTCTGTGTGAAGTGGAATTATATGACTATTTAAATTGTAGTTACTAAATTCCGATTGCATTGTACAGTTTTATTTACCATTAACTCGTTCACTCTTTCATTTCAGACTCTCGCCCTCTCTCTGCGTGTTCAATGGCAGAAGATCCAGACAGGAGTATGGCAGAACAAACATGGCAACCATTAACATAATAGAGCAGCTTCTATTGCCTGAAGGAAGAAATCTAAGCTGCTAATCATGGGCGACTTCAAGCATGGAACGAGAGACTGGGAAAATGGAGAACCACGGAGGGACAGAAACATGGAGAGTTAAACGTTAGACGTGGCGACAAGAAACTTTCTATACCAACATGTCAAAGGGGCCCAGAAGAATGAGAGGAAATGATGAACCAGCCAGACTTGGTCTAATATTCACCCTGAACGAGTCAAACATAAGGGAAGTCAAATCAGAGCCCCCCTTCCCCTAGGCATGAGTGACTACGGTGCCCTAACATTTGAGTATCTGATGGAAGTAGGAATAAGTCCATCCAAGGAAAGGACTTTAAAGTTTTTTTCTCTCTCTCTCTCTACCACAGACGTGGCCACACATTTACAATACTAAGCAGCATATATACATTTTCTACTGTCCTCCATGGACAGGGTTAGAGATGTGTTAAACATATAGTTCAGGGATTTATTGAACAATCAACCACAGAAGGTGATTCGGTGCTTTTAAAATGCTAAGCTAACCTACATACGTAAATACATATACACAGATTTACGTATACCCTACATAAAGGGTATACGTAACATACCCTGTGATGAGAGTGACGGACACCGCCTTGACCACTATCTACGTGAATGTGAACACCTGAGACACATTAGAAATGTGTAGAATAATAAACCCCACATTGTTTGAATTAGGAAAACACTATTTGTCAAATATTGATACTGTTCTTAAAAGATTTCCCCATTTTGCACCCGCAAGATAACGTAAGCTTTTAAGGGTTGACAGATGTTAATCTTCTTGTTTGAGGAGCTGTTCACTTGAGACAGTTAAGCAAATCCCAGCTGTGTCTGGGTACAAGTGACAGGATGAACAACCCAGCGGGTTTTCTTCCTATTGGGGAGTGTTGTACATGCTGCTATGGTGGTGTGTCCACTCACAGGATGAGTGGCGCTGCCCAATAAACTCGCCCCTCGGGGCAAAACTTAAAATTTAAATCCTCTGGATAGTTGCGAGTTACTAATTAAAATACAGTGGAAGGGCATTTTCTAGGTTAACAAAAATATGTAAGTTCGATCCCCTGGTGGGACAAAAATGGTTAAGTAAACAGAAGCATCAGTTGAACAGTAATCTTGTCGTGTCGTGTGTCCTTGTCTCTTGTCGTCGTCATCTCTTGTTGTCGTTGTGTCCTTTGTCTCTTATCGTCATTTCGTCTTTGCACTCTTGTCGTCGTCAGTCTTGTTATCGTCGTATTTTGTCGACGTCGTCTCTTGTCGTCGACGTCGTTTCTTGTCGTCGACGTCGTTTCTTGTCGTCGACGTCGTTCTTGTCGTTGTTGTTTCTTGTCATCGACGTCGTTTTTTGCCATTTCTTGTTGTCGTAGGCGTCTAATTGTCTTCGTCGTTTATTGGCGTAATTTCTTTTTGTCGTCGTCTCATTGTTTCTGGTCGTTGTCGTCTCATTGCCTTTGCCCTCTCATTGCAGCATAGCTTTGTCATCATTGTAGTACCTTGTTTATTGTCGTTTTTTGTCGTGGAGGTCGTTTTTTGTCGTCGATGTCGTCGTCGTTTCATTGTTTTCGCCCTCTTTTTTCAGCATAGCTTTGTCATCATTGTAGTACCTTGTTTATTATTGTCGTTTTTTGTCGTAGATGTCGTTTTTTGTCGATGTCGTGGAGGTCGTTTTTTGTCGTCGTTTCATTGTTTTCGCCCTCTCTTTTCAGCATGGTTTTGTCATCATTGTAGTACCTTGTTTATTATTGTCGTTTTTTGTCGTCGATGTCGCGGAGGTCGTTTTTTGTCGACGTCGTTTCATTGTTTTCGCCCTCTTTTCAGCATAGCTTTGTCATCATTGTAGTACCTTGTTTATTTTTGTCGTTTTTTGTCGTAGAGGTCGTTTTTTGTCGATGTCGTGGAGGTCGTTTTTTGTCGACGTCGTTTCATTGTTTTCGCCCTCTTTTCGGCATGGTTTTGTCATCATTGTAGTGCCTTGTTTATTATTGTCGTTTTTTGTCGTGGAGGTCGTTTTTTGTCGTCGTCGATGTAGTTTTTTTGTCGTCGTCGTTTCATTGTTTTCGCCCTCTTTTTCAGCATAGCTTTGTCATCATTGTAGTACCTTGTTTATTATTGTCGTTGAGGTCGTTTCTTGTCGTGGAGGTCGTTTTTTGTCGTCGTAGATGTCGTTTTCGCCCTTTTTCAGCATAGCTTTGTCATCATTGTAGTACCTTGTTTATTATTGTCGTTTTTTGTCGTGTAGGTCGTTTCTTGTCGTGGAGGTCGTTTTTTGTCGTCGATGTCGTTTTCGCCCTCTTTTTTTCAGCATAGCTTTGTCATCATTGTAGTACCTTGTTTATTATTGTCGTTTTTTGTCGTGGCGGTCGTTTTTGCCGTGGTCGTCGTTTTTTGCCGTGGAGGTCGTTTCTTGTCGTCGTCGTTTCATTGTTTTCGCCCTCTTTTTTTAGCATGGCTTTGTCGTCATTGTAGTACCTTGTTTATTATTGTCGTGGAGGTCGTTTTTTGTCGTCGTCGATGTTTTTTTGTCGTCGTCGATGTCGTTTTCGCCCTCTTTTTTCAGCATAGCTTTGTCATCATTGTAGTACCTTGTTTATTATTGTCGTTTCTTGTCGTGGAGGTCGTTTCTTGTCGTGGAAGTCGTTTTTTTGTCGTCGTCGTTTCATTGTTTTCGCCCTCTTTTCAGCATGGCTTTGTCATCATTGTAGTACCTTGTTTATTATTGTCGTTTTTTGTCGTAGAGGTCGTTTCTTGTCGTGGAGGTCGTTTCTTGTAGTCGATGTCGTTTTTTGTCGTCGTCGTTTCATTGTTTTCGCCCTCTTTTTTCAGCATAGCTTTGTCATCATTGTAGTACCAAGTTTATTGTTGTCGTTTTTTGTCGTGGAGGTCGTTTCTTGTCGTGGAGGTCGTTTCTTGTCGTGGATGTCGTTTTTTGTCGTCGTCGATGTCGTTTTTTGTCGTCGTCGTTTAATTGTTTTCGCCCTCTTTTTTCAGCATAGCTTTGTCATCATTGTAGTACCAAGTTTATTATTGTCGTTTTTTGTCGTGGAGGTCGTTTTTTGTCGTGGAGGTCGTTTCTTGTCGTGGAGGTCGTTTCTTGTCGTGGAGGTCGTTTTTTGTCGTCGTCGTTTCATTGTTTTCGCCCTCTTTTTTCAGCATAGCTTTGTCATCATTGTAGTACCAAGTTTATTGTTGTCGTTTTTTGTCGTGGAGGTCGTTTCTTGTCGTGGAGGTCGTTTCTTGTCGTGGAGGTCGTTTTTTGTCGTCGTCGATGTCGTTTTTTGTCGTCGTCGTTTCATTGTTTTCGCCCTCTTTTTTCAGCATAGCTTTGTCATCATTGTAGTACCAAGTTTATTGTTGTCGTGGAGGTCGTTTCTTGTCGTGGAGGTCGTTTCTTGTCGTGGATGTCGTTTTTTGTCGTCGTCGATGTCGTTTTTTGTCGTCGTCGTTTCATTGTTTTCGCCCTCTTTTTTCAGCATAGCTTTGTCATCATTGTAGTACCAAGTTTATTGTTGTCGTTTTTTGTCGTGGAGGTCGTTTCTTGTCGTGGAGGTCGTTTCTTGTCGTGGAGGTCGTTTTTTTGTCGTCGTCGTTTCATTGTTTTCGCCCTCTTTTTTCAGCATAGCTTTGTCATCATTGTAGTACCAAGTTTATTATTGTCGTTTTTTGTCGTGGAGGTCGTTTTTTGTCGTGGAGGTCGTTTCTTGTCGTGGAGGTCGTTTCTTGTCGTGGAGGTCGTTTTTTGTCATCGTTTTCGCCCTCTTTTTTCAGCATAGCTTTATCATTGTAGTACCTTGTTTATTATTGTCGTTTTTTGTCGAGGTCGTTTTTTGTCGTGGAGGTCGTTTCTTGTCGTGGAGGTGGTAGTTTTTTTGTCGTCGTCGATGTTGTTTCAGTCTTCATCCTTTCTTTGCAGCATCTTGTTTATTATTGTCGTCGATGTCGTTTTTGTAGTAGAGGTCGTTTCTTGTCTTCACCGTTTCTTTGCAGCATATCTGTCATAATTGTAGTATCTTGTTTATTATCGTCGATGTCGTTTCTTGTGGAGGTCGTCTCATTGTCTTCGTCCTCTTGTTGGCATAGTTGTCATCGTTTCTTGTCTTCGTCCTATCTTAGTTTCTTGACCACTCATTGTCCCCTCTTATAGTCCTATCGTCGTTGTAGTCTCGACGACGACTTCGTTTATCTCAGTCTTATCGTGTCCCTCTTCAGCCATTGCATTCTTTAATCACACTACAATTGTGCACCTTCAGCTATTTGATATACATATGTTTGAAACATCCACTGATTGCACATCAAACATTAACAAGTGACAATTGCCTTTGATAATGAAACTACAGTGCCGTTTGTATCATTTATGTAACATGTTAAAAACTAGTCCTGCATTTTTTTCCAGATTAAGAAATTAACCCCCAAGACACTTCAGTCTCAATAAGTGATCTTGGAAATTGCTAGTTAGGAAGGAAAAATTAACCAAGTTACTCAAACGTTGCATGTTCTGCATTCTCTTGGTGAAGTCTTCATGATTCTTCAGCGAGTTCTTCAAACCATGCTTTTTCTAATAAATTAGTTCTAACAAAAATGATTTTTTTTGTACCCAGAAAACGTGGTTTTCAACAAGGCAAACATTCTATTCCCGTTTCGTCCTTGAACTTGTGGAGGGTACCCCTTGCCCCCCTTTGGGGGGGGGGGGGGGAAGGAGTGTGAAGATAAGTGTTCCAAGGAAAAGGAGTTTTATGAACTGTAGGGTGAAGCGTCACATGGGTCAGGGTTTTACAAAACTAAGGAAGGGGGACCTTCCACGGGGGAAAGGATGGAACGACACTAGGAGAAGTAATTAATTATCAAAAGAAGGCACCAAATCGGGAAGGCTATGTAGCAACATCAAATGCACTGAATAATCAGAGGGCGCTAAATATCACCAAGGATGTCAATACGAGAACAAAAACGCATAAGGCGAATGATATCAAAAGTATCAGAGTCACCAAGAATTCTATTGAGGGACAGGTGACCACGAGGGGCGGTCGGAAAGCAAGACACACGCTCGTCCTGGAAGTCGGGACATTCAAAAAGCGAACTAGGAGAAATATCATTAACACTGAAATAATCTTGTAGGCGAGACAACCATGCAGAAAGAGAAAGGTGAAGGGGAACAGGACTCTCAGGAGGGACAGTAGTCAAAGCTCAACATAGGCAGGAATGAGGGTTTGCAAGTACCACGCAAGGTAGCGAAGACAGTAGCTATCACGGCAATCCTGAAGTGAAGAGAAGTCTGTTTCAACATACCTGCAGAGGGTAGGGGTCGAAGTAAAGGTACCAGAGCCAAGGCCTAACCTAGTATGATGCAGAGCATCAAGACGGCAGAGTAGAATCAGACGAGTAAGCAGGGCAACCATAAGTGTTCAGATATTACACCAGCGGAAAGAGTGCACCTATCCACTCCCCAAAAATAGTATAGAACAAGACCTTGAGTTAAGGGTCTTTGAGCATTCAACACTGGAGGCAAGATATAGGGTGACCAAGACAAACGATTGTCAAAGATTAACCCCAAAAGATTAGTAGAATCTTTGTGTACAAGGCGATTACCATGAAGCAACAGGATGAAGAACAACCTGTTTGAGTAAAAGTCATACCACTAGTTTTAGTTCAGTTGATAAAGCTGTTTAATCACAACTGTTCACCTTCAGCCATTTGATGTACACACTTTATACATCCAGCAATTGTACATAAAAAAATTAACATGCAATAATTGCCTTTGATAATGAAACTATAGTGCTGTATTATTTATTTATGCTACATGTAAAAAAAATAGTGCTCTATTTTATGATAATTAAGAAATTAACACAAGTACAAGGCACTTCAGGACTATGTTACATGCCATCACTGTTAATGAGAAGACTGAAAATTTCTAGTTAGGAAGGAAAATGAACCCAAGTTACTCAAACGTAGCAACAGTTCTGCATTCTCTTGCTGAAGTCTTGATAATTCTTCAGTGGACAGTGTTATAGCATCTCCACTTGAATAACTTTCATCGTGGACAACAGACACTTGGAGGCCTGCCAAAGAGTACAACAAAAGTTAATGCATTACCATTTATAACGGGTAAAAATATTTCTACAAATTAAACCCTAGCCTGTCAGGTACAAGTCATCACAACAGCAGGTTCATTCCCTGAACCCATTATGTGCCTGACCTTTACACTACTGCCCACAAGATGGGTATGGGGGGTACAAAAATGAACTAATTATGAACAAATCCACAAGGGCCGTGACAAGGATTCGAACCTGCATCCGGGAGCATCCCAGACTGCCTTAATCAACTGCTCTACGACAGGATTAAAAAGAGTTGAAACCGAAGTTCTACTGAACTTAATGGATCACACTAACGTGATGCATCACGTTAGTGTGATCTGTGTGTAATGAACTAAGTATATTTGACAACTCTATGGAAATGGATACTACGGATTTACATACAGCCCCATAGACCTAGTGGCAAAGCAATCTTATTCAAGCCTTGTCAAACTTAGCCAATACTGTAAATTTAACCATACAACTGCAATATTAATGTCTTTACTTTTAATAATACATTTGAACAAGGTATGTAAACTGTCTACCAATAGAGACCATTTTAAGTGTTATAATCTAGTGTAACAATTTTACCTTCAAAATTGGAAACTAAAGTATATTGTTTCTGTACTGGACAAAAGCTGTAGTCTCCTTTAATGAGCTTTTACACAACAATGCCTTTTAATTCAATTTAGCAATTTAACTATGGATTTTCTTAATCATTGCATTGATAAGTTTCAAGAATATCATTTCTACATTCTGTATAATCTTTCCTTTTATTTTTACCAACAGTGATATCAACACCTATGGAGTGTTAATGGAACCTTTGACCAACATTTGCTTTCAAAGATTAAAGACAACATACCATCATCTGATGTCCTTTGGTCTTCCTGCGACTCTTCTACACGAGACTCCCTTGAGGTTAGGTGTTCATCAGTATCAGGGTCATGATCCTCCGTAATCAACAGCCTTTCTCCATTCTCATCCAGCTCTAACTCTCCCTCAGACCTCAGATTCTGACTGGAATATTCCTCACAGAACTGTAATAAAAATTAGTTGAATTAGTGCACATTTGAAATCCTTACCTTTTCTTGTATATACAAATTTTAACTTGACAAGCAAACAAAGCAAACAAATCCAAGAAAACAAACTTTACAGTCGTCGTGTGAGGTTGTGCACTGAACGACAGCTACTGGGAAACCCATGGATTTGTTACGTGCGTGTACCTGTGAGTGCCAAGCACCCTGTCAACTATCGAACACTTATCAAATAAAATGCTCAAGTGCCGACGTACCAGAGTAAATGACATACAAACCTCATTAGGAAGGGGAGTTGTTTTCTTGTTATAAGCTGTAGTCCTAGCACTGCCACAAGTCAGGAGCTGTAAGTAACCTGATGAAGTTACTTCTCCTGCTTCCATTGATACATTCACCGATGTGGAACAATTCAACACTTCTCCTTCAGATACAGTGTAGCAAGTGACGTCAGTTGCCTGTAAATGAGTTTCAGCTCAGTATAACATTGTGTCATATTTGCCATAGCAGCACAATTACAGTACAGTACAGTACATGAACCATGAAATTAAAATTATAAATTTGAGATGAAATTTACTAACTGCCGAATCATACTTAATGATAAATTTGGGGTTAAAAATCAGACAATGGTTGCCAATTCACATTGTTATGTCATTAGACAAAAACTAAATACTGTACAGTACAGTATGAGAACAAAAATCACTTGTGGCAAGACTATGGGTCGACAAATAATTTGTCAGGGAACAATCCAAGTTACGTCAAACTATTGACCCACCCCAAGAAGCAACTACAGCTGTTAACCAACTCCTGGGTAACTTTACTGCTAGGTGAGCATAGAAAGGAAATATTTTCAATCATTTCTGTCCCACTGATTTTGAACCTGGGATTGCTGATCGAGTCAAGAATGAACCCAGCTCTACTACCGAGACCCTGGCAGGGGAAAACTTTGAATTCCTATAGCAGCTCTGAGATGCACCGGCTTGTGCCAGTGGGAGCTTAAGCTGCAACGCTCTGGTTCCAGCTTGGAAACAGGCTTTTGAGAAGAAAACAATGGAACAGCTGCATGTAGGTAGTGCAATGAAATGTGAACATTTTAGATTTCTAATATAATGAAGATGAAAATGAAGATACAGTAGTTTATGCAATCTCAAGACTGGCAAACTTGTTCCTACTAGAGGATGGAAATAGAGGTGAAAACATATCGGTAAAGTGCACAACTAAACTTGGGGAGGAAACATTAAGAGCTTGTCAAATTGTTGTTACATTTCATAGAGGGGACTGCAACAGATCCCTGGCAACATGAGAAACAAGTAAAGCATCACTTCAGCTTTGAGACAACATTAGGACCATGCAAATGATACCTAAACGCTATGCCCGAAACGCTATGCGTACTAGTGGCTTTAGGTATTGTATGTACTATATCTGTATGTACTATATCTTTACATCTAACATTATTAACTCAATGTTTGTACCTTTGCCCGAATAAAAAAATCTAAATACAAAGTAGTTAGATTAATAGCAATGAATTGCAATGTAGTTAAGTCACTGCTGACAGGTTTCACATGTGAATTCTGCAGGACAAAACGAGTAGTTTAGGCACTTTCGCCTAATGCCTCTGTTCATCTAACAGTACACAGATACCTGGGTGTTAAGAAACTCGGGTGGGTTCCATCCTGTGGGAAGGTCAGTAATTGGTCAACCATTACACTTAAATTTTATTCCTGCACTGGCTTCTAGGGACAATGGCAAAATGATTAGTCTAATATATATATGTACTGAACTAATTTATTTCAAGAATATTTGCATTGGGCAAATTGTTAAACATACTGCACATTCCAACATTTACACAATACTATTAACAATCGTACAAATAAAAACTAACCTCTACCGATGATGATACAGTAATGTCAGCCGACGACTGACAAATGACTGATGGGGTATCTGGGGAAACAAGACTTCTAACTTCTTCAGGTGCCAAATGACTGTCCTCATCCTCCCTATGTTTGGATCTTGTGTCTGGTATGCATACTTGGGTGCTTTGGTCATGTCCTCTTGGAAAGCTAACTTTTAAATGTTGACATGATGTGAACATGGCAGCAGAATCAGGTTCTGGTACTTTCAGATATGGTCGTGATGTTTCTGAAGGTGTGGGAATTCTAGTGATTTCAATCACCTCATCTGGTACCTGCTGTGCTGTTGGAGATTGTGTTGGAGTATCAAGTTGTTGAACCACATTTTCCGAGTCGAGAGAGTCTTCAGGTGTGCATTTAGGAGTGACTGTGTTCTTCACTTTGCTTGGAGATGATTCAGGAGTTACTGATGGAGTCTGTGGATACTTATGTTCCAGCAGAGTTAATATGGGAACAGGCGATGATGGAGGAGTAGTTACCACTTCTTCACTATAATCAGCATCTTCATGGGAAAGCTCAGGAGTGAGTATTTTTCTTGGAGATATGGTTTCTGGTGGTGGGGATGGTGATGGTGTTCTTATCTGAGAAAAAAATATACATGGTCAAATGCAATTCTAAAGGATACCTTAACCAAGGCCTGGTAGTCATTTTACACCACAAACAATTAGTCTTCACTTGTACTTTCGTTTCAGCGTGACATGCCATTATCAAATACATACATCAACTCCAACACACAATTCTGAGTCCGAGAGATTAAGTATTCTCTACCGAACATAGGCATCAGAGTTTACATTGCAATTTGTGGCTGGAATAAGGAAGAGTTTGTGAAAAGTCCAATTCTAGAAGCCTAGTAAATTTGACACTGTATAGGCAGAGGCTGAAAATCCCAATATCACTGACAGTGAAACATTGAGGCAAGAGGATATAATAGAAGAAAATTCTATCTCCCAAGATACCACCCAGAAAGGACAGAAAAACAGATGTAGTAATGCTATACATGAACGAGGACCTTAATGCAACCACCAATGAGGAACTGAACACCATGGAAGCCTCAGTGTATGGTGCAACATACTAACTCAAGATGGTAGCCAAATGACAGTGGGAATATGCTGCTGCTCTGTATAATGTGATCAATGCAGCATCAGAAACCCACTCTTATAATGGGGGACTAAGAAACGGTTATGGATGTTCATTGTTGTGATAGGAAATGCTATTGATGTTTTAGTCCTCTAGTATATTGGGGGGGGGGGAGGGAAATAATAATGAAGACTTACTGAAATTAAATGGCTATAAAGGCTTTCATCTTTTTGCCACAAATACTATAAAATGGAAGTCTATATTAAGAACTCCATACCAGCAGAGTTTTGTAGAACCGTCAAAAACCACAGCGGGGACAGTATTAAATTATCAGTATTAAATTATTTTGTTTCGATTCTTCGCGGCAGGGGATCGTATTCCAGGGACCATAGGATTAAGGTCTTGCCCGAAACGCTACGCGTACTAGTGGCTGTACAAGAACGTAACAACTCTTGTATATATCTCAAAAAAAAAAAAAAAAAAAAAAAAAAAAAAAAAAAAATCATTAGGGGAAAGGGGGAATTTATTGTAGTATATATGAATGTACCCAGGAACTGCTTTGATGCTCACTATCTACCCGACTTCACTTAAACTACTACCTCACTGGTCATTGGGGACCTTAATGCTCAGGACATAAGCCTTGGGACAGTGGGAAGTATTATTGGAAATTCTATCAAATCGTAATAGCTTCTACAAGATCATCCAGATACCTGTCTTGGGGGTAACAAATGAATCAACTCAGATCAGGGGAGAACAGCTTTACTATGCCTGCATTTTAAACTCATTGGTTTATAAGGGAGGCTCGGGTTGTTCAGGAGCTACTTTGTGATCACTGCCTTGTATGTTGAATTGCCATTGAAAATAAGCTTGGTTTTTCCCCAAAAGGAAAAGATTAAATATTAATAAATCACTTTGATGCAACCGGACCGTAAATATACGGCCCACTCGGCCAACGGGTTCCGCGCCCGCGCCGTAAATAGCCGGCCGATCTAAAAATACACAAAATCCAATTCTTATTCGATCGACTTGGGGTTAGTATGAAAATGTTTGCCATTAAATTTCCGTTTTTTCTAATAGGCACATGGCCTATTTGAGAAAACGGCATTGTATTGTAACTTAGAGGAGAGACTATTGAGTTGTTGACAACGAGGGTAATCGCCCACTTCACACACTGTGTGGGCCGCGATCATGATTCTACATTTATATGCATATGTCTGTGTAGGGAATTTTATTGCGAGTTCAGTGATATAAAATATAACGCTATAAGACTAATGTGGAGCTGACAACAAACAAAAGAGTATGAACATTTTGTTGCTGTTTGGGCGTCACTGCGAGTGATCTACGTTTTATTTATTTCGTGGTGGGATAGCTAATGCTTTGGTGACATGTTATACATATGATCTTGTAGAGAATTTTATTGCAAACACATTGATACCAAAATGAAATACGTGGCTCGAGAATTGGTGTCAGGAGAGTGAAAAGATTACACACTGTTTGGTGTTTACGCTCAAGAGCCCAAAACGCCGCGCGCACAATGCGCTATTTTTTTCACGGGGACCCCGCGCATTAAAGTGTTTATTAATAAAAGAAATTTATTTAAAAAATGGAAGATTGGTATCAGCAACACACGCTGCAATACTCTGTTCATAGCTTTTACAAGGACATGGTCAAGAACAGAAATTAGTACAGTACAGATGAAAACTAATGGAACTAGGGGAAGACACAGAACCAAGAAATTTAAATACTCTAATGATCAGGAGGCCAAGGGGGTGGGAGAATGCTACAGATTGCGCACAGAATGGTTAAAAAATAGAACGAGGGAAGAATGTTGGAAGTAGCTAGGTAATGCAGTCAGGCAAGGAAGGGGGGCATTGGACAGATACTGGCAAATGTTTGTCCAGTTCATTTGGTAATGCTAAGAACCTTAAAGACAAGTAAATATTATTAGGGGTTGTAAGAAATTCATAGCACACCCAAATCCAAGAACGGTTGCTATCTAGTTGGTAGACAATTTAACTAGTGCTGCTAGTATGGAGACCTTATCTGAAGATACGAGAAACACCATCGATTCATGGAAAATTTTTAGAAATCTAATAACTGTGGTCTTTAAGTACAGGTTCAGTAACATGCACCGAGATCACATACGATGAGCTATTTTATGCTATTAAAAGTGGCAGCCCTATTGCTTTAAGGAAGGATGGGGTAATGCATGACATTCTTAATTATTTAAGAAGTATGAAACCTAGTTTCTTACTTTATTTCACTTCACAATCTCAAAGTGCTTGTCTAATGTGGATGACAATTTTAGAATTTGCCAATTTACAAGAAACCTTTGATAAAGCCAATGGGGAAATTATCTTACACAAATTAGCCAATCTTGGAACAAAGAGGTGGCTACATTGGTCACGAGATCTACAAGGGAGAAAAATTCAGGTGTATTACCAAGGATGTGCATTAGAGGAAAGGATGTTTCAGCAAGGGGGAGCTTTAAGTCCCACTTTATTAAAGGTATTAATGAACAGATTAGCATTAGAGATGTATCCTCCAGGGATCATGACAATCATATTCTTATATGATGTTATTCTTATACAAGGCACTTCTGTGAACAATTCAAACTGCTCTTAGCATAATTTGAACAGCCTGTCACAAGTTAGGCTTGGTTATAAACACTGACAAAACCAAAATATAGGAAACAAATAATTTACTCTAAATTGCAAGGAACTGAGCCTTGTTCAGAAGTACAAGTATCTGGGCATGTATGCTGGGTTCACACGAGAGAAAAAATGCCAAAATAAATCATACCAGCACCTTGTATAAAGCTTTAAATCATCCTCTAAAGGCACTATCATTGTCTGGTAAAAGAGTTGGGGTACCTATCTTGCATATGTACTGTTCATCAGTGCTGTTCTGTCCCTGATAGACCACACAGCATCCGTTGTGTCTTATATAGGGCAAGGCCGATTTAAATTTAAAAAAAAAAAAAAAAAAAAAAAAAAAAATAGAGCCGATACAGAATGAAGCTATGAGAATTATTCTGTCAAAAAATGCATTGATTGAAATAATGAGAATAGAATTATATTTACAGTGTGTATGATAGTCCTTGACATTAACACTAAGAGTATCTATTCGATTCATGATGAGAATAGGGTATAAGCTCTTTCACAGCTGTCAGAATTGCTAGAGTGATGTACACACTTCTAGGAAACGGGGAGACAGACATGCTACACAAAGGGATATGCTAATGACCTCGGGGAATACAGTGTAATTTACTGCTGCAAGCCTCTTGACAGTGTAATAGGACCCTGCCTTGTAAAATACAAAAAAGATCGTGGAAATTGAAGCTCTCAAGGTGAAGATTCAGCATGATACGGGACAACTATGGTGTTTGTATGGAAGCATAATCTCTTATGAAGGACAATAGTTTACATGTATATTGTGGTGGAAGATGGCAAGGCATCTACAGGATGTGGTGTCCTGATAAGTACAGTTTGGAACTGTGGACAGGAAAATTCAACTTCGACTTGGTAATTATATTGCAGCCACACAAGCTGAACTGCAGGCCATTCTGGCTTGTTTGGAGGAAGCATGTAAAGATTAAAAGTTTTCATATTTGATACTCGAGGAGCACTCGATTCTTTAAACAGTCTAAATCCAATCTTCATGGTCCATAGTAGAGGATTGTAAGATTGTAAGACATAGTAAGAGGATTGATAGACGAGATACAGATGAAAGGTCAGACACATTCAGATTTCCATCTCGTGTTGGAATAGTGCTCAACGAGGTGGCAGATGAACTGCCCAAATGACCCACGTCAAGCCCATAAGTTGACATTGAATGGGTTTAAACCACCACACTGCACACCTGGTTTCCACAAAAACGTCATAGTACAATTGTTAAGGACATTTGTTTTTATAAATATACAGGTGAAGTTAATGTCAAAATGTTTACAAACTATTTTCATTTCAAAAGAGTGATTAAAACATTAAAATATAGCCCAATTGGAAAAAAATAGCACAACTCTCAAGAGCGCTTTAAGGCGCTCTGGGGTGGTCAAGCAAGAGAACTAAGCAAAATGAGAAATTCAGGCACAGACAGAAGTGGCAAGGACATGTATAATTTATGAGAAGTCAAACCACTGAATACAAGTCAAAACACCAATTTCACTTATGGTGAAGAGAAATGCTTCAACTACACATGTTAAGGTGGAACAGGTGCTAATGATAATGAAACTGTAAACTATGTGGTATGTTAAGGTCTCTCACCCATTATAATCTTCATTGTCTGCCAATGTACCTGTCAAAGGTGTATGTACATTATCTAGTCATAAAAGTATGCATGTCTTATACTGCATGTCTAAAGGAGGAAATGTACTGCATGTTTTATCAACCAGAACATTCAGTAATATGGTAATTGATTGTAGTGTGCATATATTTATTTACATGTGAACACCGAGTGAATAGCTTTAATTACCTCATCCCTTAGTTTACTCAGGTATAAATACTCTCAATTTCAGTTCTCTGGCCTAACAGCACACCCAATTGTGATGAAGTAGAATACCAAAATAAAATGAACACCCAGGATGGAGTTCCAGGAAACTACAAACCGAGGCAGAATTAGACCTATTTTCAAGATGCTTAAGAACATTCGGGATAACTTGACTGCCAAAATGTCCACACATCAGACTAAATGAAGTGACCCAATGGGGTAAAACCAGTAAAAGATTAACTATTAAGGCCAATATGAAAATTAAATTAACACCTAGAAGCCACCATAAAAATTCACTTGTGGGCCACCATGTTTAGTGGTCTTTTATGACATCAGGCAGCCTGTCAAAGGTCCTCCCTACCCCTCTTTGTCCTGATTTTATCAAGCTAGATTTTGAATTGCAGCAGTGTTTTGACATTTACTACTTTTTGCTGGAATTTTGGCTTCAGGAAGAGATGCAAATTTAACCTGCATATGTTAATATCGTAAATCATCACAACTAAGGCCCAACCAACCAGTTAAGGTTGGTGGGGGCTTGTTGACCCAAATGCTACATCTCTTAAGAGACCAAATGGGTAATGTAAAACTTTTTTGGGCATTATGTTATACATGAAGCGGAGAGCCTGGAAGTGGTAGGTTTGACTGTTCTAATCCTCAGTTTGTCCCTGTACAGTATCTCTGATCAGGATGCACAGCATACCGATATGCATCACCGAGGCTCAAAGAAATGAACCAGCATGGACCAATATCAAAAGAATTTGACAAGCTCTGCTGGTTACTAGACACGATTCATCAAGAATCTAAAAATTGTCGTGTATTTTTCAAGCTTTGAAACAGTAGATGGGGTTTATGATCCAGGGGAATCCAACAAAGACTAGGGAATCATCTCCAAGTATTTAAGAAATGAAGATGCCCAAGCATCCTCAATTCAAGCCTCCTATAAAATATGCAATGCAACACTTCACTACACCATCCCTGGGGCCCCACAAAGATAGGGCCTGCTACACCCTCCAGAGTGGCCCAACCACATCTAATACCAGGCTGATGCAAAGCAGATATAGGAGCCACTGTACCCATGTAGAAACCAGAAAACCTTTGTACTACAAACCCCTCCAAAAGAAAAACGGCCTAGAATTGGATGAAATATACTACAACTGAAGCAGTCTTAACTTATGAAGCAGATGGAAATACTAAGCTTACTAACTTGCAGTTTGATTGGGAAATGGCATATCAATTTACATGAAGCCCACCATATAGAATGGCCTCAATGGGAAAAAAAGAAGCAAGTGGCTGATGGATGGTTCCTCATTAATCCTACATTTACAGCTTTAAGCAAAGAAAAGATTACATTATTGGATGTAAATTATATATATTTTTTGTTTATGGTATAGTGGTTTAAGAAACTTTTATATATAAGAGTCAACTTACTATATCGTCAGAAACCAGTTCAGAAACAGATGGCTTGGGCGAGTGGTTTGGGGATTTCAAAGGCGTTTTCACATCTGAGGAACTTCTCGATTTATCCGTACTTGAGTTGGAAGATAATGAAGTTTGAGCTCCCTCCGAGAAATCCGTTGGTCCTTTTGGTTTGTCATCTCTGATCTGTAAAGTTAAAGACCTTAAATGTACATTAAATTCTTTAAGGTCAACTAAATTAACTCCACTAACAAAATTGTTAAAATTAATAGCTTGAGCAATGTCAAAATCCAGACAAATTGATTTTGGCAGTACATAGAGGACACAAATCTTAAGACAATAGGGAAGGTCAAACTACACTGAACATTATTTGGCACAAGTGTCTAGAGTCAATTCAAGATGGAACTTAAAAATTGTATAGTTTGTATTTAAGAAATGAATACATACAGTAGTGGCAATAGTTTTTCCATGCAAATTCATGAAATAGGTTTTCCCAATATTACAGCCATTATTCATAATTGTTTTTAACCTACTTTTGAACAAGTCATTTTAGAACAGGATTTGTTAGAACAATATTTATTGTAAAATCCAATTATTAATGATTACCTTACAGGTTACATATAAAGTAAGTTTTGGTGCAGTATACAAGGCTAAGAGAAACTACTTATAGTCATTACAATGATACTTAAAACATCAAGTCAACTATAATTATTAGGCAAGTGTTGGTTTTCTTTAGAGGATTACAAGCTAAACTTCATGATTAACAGATACTTATAATTCATTGGAATCATAGAGGTTTACATCAAAGGTTTAAGACAAAACCAAGTATCAGATTTAAATTATTCAAGAAAATGTCGATACCTGGTTGATGGGGTTCTGGGAGTTTTTCTTTCCTAGCCCGGCCCGAGGCCATGCTTGACTTTTGAGTTGTATGCTATGCAGTACTTTAAATACTTTTAAGTCTAAGCAGTACAGTAAATAACAGCTAATAAATCAACATTAAGATATAGCTCAATTATGCCTGTTTTCCATACCTGTGAAAATGCTGCATCAAGTCTCTCTTGCACCAAACCTTCCAGAATTGACCTGGCTGCCATCACCACATCCTAAATTTTTTTTAATAAAGGCAGTGATAAATATACAATACATTGGCCATGAAAGTTTGGCTTCTGTGAAAAAACCTTAGTTTTAATTTATAACCTACATATAAAATGGTATCAATATAAATATAACAAGTTTGCAGGTGATGAGTCACAATAACGTGGCTGAAGTATGTTGACCAGACCACACACTAGAAGTTGAAGGGATGACGACGTTTCGGTCCGTCCTGGACCATTCTCAAGTCGATTGAGACTTTAGAAACGTCGTCGTCCCTTCAACTTCTAGTGTGTGGCCTGGTCAACATGTAACAAGTTTACTTTAAGGCCACCATGAAGTGGCTTCAGAGGACAGGAAGACAATCGTCAGATTCCTCATTATTCGAGGATTTTCTCTAGTTTTATTTTAAATTAGGAGGACAGTACAATCTTGATTCAATGAAGTGTATGGAACCAAACCTAATTCATTGCAGTGAAAGATTTGTTGCAACTGGAGATTGCCTATACTACAGTATACTTAAATATACAGTACAGTATACCTAAAAGCAGGATGAATTTCTTACATCCTATGGGCTAACTTCACTTGGCAAAATTTTCATTTCAACCTATAATAGACTACATAATGAACAATTCTGCAAGAGGAAAAAATGTGCCAGATGTATAATTACCAGAGCCTGATACTCATCCTGGTCACTAATTGGCAAAACTTCAACTTTAGCATCTGGTACAATAGTTGGCATCTGCTCCACTGGTGTCTGGTCCACTGGGGTCTGCTCCACTTGTACTGCACCTCTTAATGCCTCTTCCAATCTGGAAAATATCTTGACTCAATGTTTTTATCATTTCGAAGTTGTTTTTTTTCCACTGCAATTTATTATACTAAATCTATATCCATAACTATATTGGAGGTTGAAAGTCAGATACTTGGGGCTAGCCTCGCCAAACTTTCTCACACAAAATCTGGAGGGTAAGCGAGTGTCAGACCAGTTGTAGTCCAGGGGTTGTGAAAAGTTATGCCTATTCTCACATTTACACGTGTTAAAGGGAATGTTGCTGGTGGGGGAAGGGGGGGGGGAGTTTGTGGGGGAGAGGGAAGAGGCAGAGGGGAGGGGAAAGTAGCAACATGAGGGGAAGATCGGGACGTATATCCAGGCACCCCATCTAGTGTAAAATACATTGTTCATGATGTTGAAATTTTTCTTTACAACATTTAAGAATGTCGAGATGTATACTTTTAACTCTGTTACAGGTACAGTACCTATAAAAGTAATAACTTGCGCAGCACAACCTGTATTAACATCCCTTAAAGAATACTTAAATTCGTATTGTTCAGTAAAGACAATTGAGGTATTTAAATGTCTGATTCAGCAACTAATGAACACAGCATATGGCATCTCGAGTAGAGACTTTAGAATGATAATCGTTACATTGCCCAGCACCAAAGTAAATACTAATAAAAGCATATAGCTTACCTTTGCATAATTCTTAATTTGAGTTCGTGTTGATGCAATCTATTCTCAGCTTCATTAATCATGCGTCTGGTATTTTCATCATCCTCGCATCTGTATTCTTTAACAACCACTTCCTCCCACTTCACTTCCGGCAAATACCCAGGTAGTTCGTCTTCCTCGTGACTCCAACCACCACTACGATCCTGGACTCCGTTGACATAACACGCACCAGGGTCATTCACCCCACCACCACCGACAATTGAACCTTGCTTTCTAACGCACTGTTCTTTCCCATAATCAAAATCTGTGTCATCTGGTTTACCGTCGCTCATTTCTTGGGCCTTGTGCGAATTGTCATCAGTGTGTAACTGATCGCTGCCATCATCAGTTCTCATTTCTTGAACAGAAGCAACAAGATGAGGTAACGATGCTTCAACATTAGGAGAGATATAGGACGATGGCCCTTCAACATCATTAATGTTGTCAGTCTCTGCTACCCGAGATCCTTGATCTTCCAATTCCTTATTAGACTCGTCATTGTTATCAGAGTGATCATTGCCAATTTCTGATAATTGGTCGTCCTCTTGCATGCTTGCATGAACCACTGTAATAATCTTATGTTTTTTCTCCAACGGCTTAGGCGGGTCACCAGGCATTATAGAGATGCTAGGAAGTGATACCGCTATATTCTCTCTTGGGATGTCCACACTTGTCTGGGTAGATATTTGCAGCTTGTCTTTCATGGGTCCCTTTGTTTTACCCACAACTAAAGGCACTTCAGAAACTTTCTCGAAATCTTTCCTCTCTTTCCTTGACACGACTGGAATAGATTGTGCCGATTTTAATGTGGGTTTTCCTAGAGATTTATTTGACCGCAATTTATCCATTTTTCCAGTAGTTCTTTCAACTCTGGTAAATATATTGGGCACTTCTTCACCTTCGATTCCATAATTTTGAAGAGGTTCTAGAGGATCACTTCGTCCTCTACCCATCAATGAATGCACAAAAAGTGGAGGAGGATGCGTTGGAAGGAGAGTTCGTGGACGGTTCCGAGGTTTTGCTAGTTCTGGGTCATTGACAAGCCCAGAGGGAGCAGCAGCTGTGTCAGGACGAGCTTCAGGGCCTGCGGGTCGAGTTTCAGGGCCTGCGGGCCGGTGGATGACGGGCGGCGCACCAGATGGGGTACACCTTCCTTCCTCATCCTTAAAGTACAAGGATATTATTAATTATAAACCAATACCGTACTGTAAAATACCTTATATTTGCTAAATATATTTGGAGACCAAGATGTACACAATATTATATAACAAAGCTTTGTTTACAAAAGGTCATTACAAGAAAACTGACATCAAGTGTAGAAAAGAACTTTCGCTACTTTCTCGCTTGCTTTTTTTAATCTATATCAGTCTGAATAAAAGTGGATAGATTTAGGAAAGAAGGTCACTGTAGTGGTACAAAATCTTCAATGTGGAAATATTGGTGGTACAGTATTTTAATAAATTAAGAAATGTGTTCATGAAATCAAAAACTGAAGCAATTCTTATTCACAAAACGTTTGAAACAATTTTCAGACATTTAATCTTTAGCAAATTACGTCGATCTAAACTTAATTGAATGGTAATAAGAAAATCTATATCTACTTTCTCCGAGTATGAAAATATTAAACCTATAACAAAATTTCCCAAACAATTTGCAAGCTAGTCTTCTGAAGGAAGCTAAATCCTATTGTCTGAGCTTTTTCTTCGTAATGGTGCTAATGCTTACAATAAGCAGAGAAAGATGCTAGCAAGAAAATATACTTATTAAATAATATAAGTAACGAGAACGTTTATTGGGCCATGCAAGAGTCTTGTGAACTTTACCAAACTCTTAATGGCCTGGCGGGCCACTCGCATCGCAAGGGAGACCGAGCACGAGCACACCCCAATGTTAAACTCTTTCACACAATGTTTATACTTAACCAAAAATCAATGCATGTCCTTCCTCACTTATGATTAGTATTGTAGCAAAATGTAATGTCTTGTGTTACTGTAGACTAAACCACACCAGAAAATGTGACCACGACATTGAAAATGGTCCGTCCTGGACCATTATAAAATCTATGGTGATGAGACTAGGACTCAAAAATTTACTCCAGAGGACTAGGACTGACTCCAAAACCACAATCTCTATTGTGGTTTTGGAGTCTTGGAACATTTTGGTCAGAGTAGCAAGTAGCACGGGCTATGGTGAGCCCGCAAATGAGACGAGGGAGGCACGGGCAAGAGGTGAGGAGTAGGAAATCTTAGACGCTAAGAGCAATGTGAAAAGTACGGAATGGGTTAGGTGTAAAAAAGGGGTGTAAGGGAGTAATAATAAAGAATGGGAACGTAATAAAAATCGGGTAGGCTTATGTTAAGTCACGTTTGTTAGAAAGTTTAGAACATTTAAGTATGTTCTGTGAAAGGGAAGAGTTAACAGCAATAAAGCCAGGACTCTGGTTCATGTTGGGTAGGTTGTGTATCAGGCCAGACTCGACAAGACGGTCTGTGAAGAGACGAGGCAGGAAAGATTATTTTTAGAAGACTTATGAGTCCAAATTATGAGTCCTATTATGATCCCAATATTATGAGTCCCTTAACATGATAGAAGAGCATTGTCTACAGATTTAATTAACGCTGTTCCTTAAGTCTGTCATTTACTGTACTGCAGTGTTACAGTGAGTTGCAGTGCAAGACCATACAATGCTCTACTGTTACCAAACATTTCCCCCCACGAGCCTACTATGCTGTATAGTACAGCATGAAACACATGCAAATTACACTACTATGTTACAACTCTGGTCGACTACAGCCAAAAGGTCACCGGTACTTGCCACATTATTTCTAAGGATCTTGTCGATGTATTGGTCCACTCGACGGGATATGATGTATTTATCTTCATCAAATCTAAAGGGAAAAATAAGTTTTTTTTAGGGGGGGAATATAGAAAAAAATTACGTTTATTCATGCTTTAAGATACGAATTTTTAATGCCGATGTTAACATCAGTTTTCAGTATTAAAACTACAAACCAGTCGTTTGTTAAGACTGCTGAAACATCTAATTACTGTATTTCAAAATTTAATTGAATTGTGTAGTTAAATTTGTACCAAATTGGGAATAGTATGATAACTCTACCAATTAAATACGTGGCGGGAAGAGACTCACGTGCCAGCAGACAGCCCCTGAAGAATGGACGACAAACGTGATTGAGGTTGACCGAAAAGCTTGCCCACGCCCTTCAGTTCCTCTCTCGTGTCAGCCACCCACTTGCCAATATCCGCCAGCTCATCCATGCTAATACCAATCTCACCGTCAGGTTTAGACACTCGGGCCAGAGATTCCTGTGGCATGCCGTCCGACCCTTCGAGGCGCGGTTGAGGCATGACTCCAACATATCCTTTGGCCGGATCATATAGTGGATTACAGGGCTCTATTGAGGATAAGGTGGTAGGGGGAGAAATAGATACTGGTCTATGAAGATCCAAGACAGAGGCATTAAGGGGAGCTCTGGGAGATGTTAAAGATTCCTGAGATGAAACACTTGAAGACGTAGACCCCGGTGAAGACGGAGGTACCACAGATGGACACCCCGGTGGTGGACTTCGTGAGGTACTTGTCTTAGGGAGTGAACACACAGGCTCCATCGAGGACTTCAGGTCAGGTAAGGGTAAGGCTTGACGTAAGGGCTTATCATTCTGCCTTCCTCGGGTTGCACTCAGGTTGGGTTGAAGACGACGTGCACGACTGGGACACCAAGACAAGGACTGTTGCTGCTGAAAAATAAACAGTTTAACACTTAGGATGATTGATTGATTGATGAAGATTAAGCCACCCAAAAGGTGGCACGGGCATGAATAGCCCGTAAGTGGTGGCCCTTTTGAGCCATTACCAGTATCAATAGATGATACTGGAGATCTGTGGAGGTGCGACTGCACCCTGCGTGACGGGAGATGTCTCCCGTCAACTTCAGATGGAAGAAATACCATTTAAGTAGTCAAATATCTTTCGTAATATATATTTACTCGAGAAATGTCAATTCTGTCATCATAAGTAAATTTAAACTGTCCAACTATAAATGAAATGTTTAAGGCCAAACAAATGGTAATCCTCAAGTCTCAGTTCGATTATTTACAGACTAATAGCTTACCTGGCCTAGCTGCTTCCAGACATTTAAAAGTAATTGAAGGTATTTACTTACCTACGAATTAATTATCTACAATAATGACAATGCCTTGCCAGGCTTCTAGACCTATCGACTCTCCATGTATCACTAATTATAAACAAGTGCCACAGATGGTAAACCTGTAAGATCCCATGTGACAGTTCTGGCAAAATATCAACCCGTCTTCTATACAAAGACCCAGAGTCCATTCCATGCACCCGCCAAACCCCGTTTACGAATGAAAAACTGTATACACGAATCAACTGATGACGTCCGAACACTTCCGGAATATGCGCTTCGCTCACGACCCTTGTTCGAACTACAAGACTGTAAATGCTTCACTCACTACAAATACAAATAATTGCCCACAGAACCTCAACACCTAACCTTGCCAATGCCTAAATATGCACAATATGCATATATATAATATTTTGAGACTTCTGTTTTGAATGAATAGAATGTTAAAATTTATGTATGCGTCTTTGGGGTCGACCGCTGGATTGAATGAACTGTGAGGACGGGTTGCAAGACAGGGTGAAGGATTGACGGGTGCGCACGGCGCAAGTTTTTTTCAAGCAACTGGTTTTCATACCTCACTTGCGTATTTAGCCGAATGAGAATTGGATATGGGCATTTTTGTTAATAATATTATATATATATATATATATATATATATATATATATATATATATATATATATATATATATATACATCATAGCATAGGTACTAGTTAAAGAATCAACTAATGATACCTCCCCATTCCCCATCTTTCCCCGTCACTTACCATCATTTCCTGTTAGCACTGAACTAGGTAGGAAACTTCCTACGTCAGCTACTGGTGCTTGAAACTAACCCAGTAAAGAAGCTCTTGTACTAAACCGTCCCAAATGCTTCTGACCAATCTTCCCTCTCGTCTTACGGCAGAGATCATACCTCTAGCAGGCAACAAGAACAACCGTGGACATCTTCAAGAGGAAACTAGATTGTTTCCTTCAAGGAGTGCCGGACCAACCGGGCTGTGGTGGGTATGTGGGCCTGCGGGCCGCTCCAAGCAACAGCCTAGTGGACCAAACTCTCAAGTCAAGCCTGGCCTCGAGCCGGGCTTGGGGAGTAGAAGAACTCCCAGAACCCCATCAACCAGGTAATGTATGGCAGTTATAATTAGAGTTCAAACCAATTGTTGGGACTAGTGAGACATGGTCTGATCGATTGATAAAGATTAAGCCACCCAAGAAGTGGCACGGGCATGAATAGCCCGTTAACATGGCGGTCGATAACAGGTGGACAATATAGCGGAAGTTTAGGGGAGGGAGATGGGTGCCTGGTCTAGAGACAATGGTAGCCAGGTCCCGCTTGCTGCTCTAGTGTTTGGTCTACATTTACCCCATCATAATAGAGGCGTGCTGAATTAATTTTGTAGGTTGCCTGCAGTAAACGTGTCTGCTCTATTAAGCGCACGCGCGCTAACTCTAAAAGTGTAGAGGTGAACACACTAATGGTGTCATAAAGTTCGAAATAAGTCTTCCCTGTCATGCCTGATACCTGGTTGATGGGGTTCTGGGAGTTGTTCTACTCCCCAAGCCCGGCCCGAGGCTAGGCTTGACTTGTGAGAGTTTGGTCCACCAGGCTGTTGCTTGGAGCGGCCCGCAGGCCCACATACCCACCACAGCCCGGTTGGTCCGGCACTCCTTGGAGGAAACAATCTAGTTTCCTCTTGATGTCCACGGTTGTTCCGGCAATATTTCTTATGCTCGCTGGGAGGACATTAAACAACCGTGGACCTCTGATGTTTATATAATGTTATATATTTAACATAATATAACATTAAATATCACCTATTCTTCCCCCCCCCCCACCACAAAAACACACAAGCTGCTCAGGGTGTACATGGGCTTCCGTTAGAATGGCAATATTAAGGTATCCATACGTGTTCATATTTTTTTTTTTGGGGGGGGGGGGGGGGGGAGATATATATATATACACAAGAGTTGTCACATTCTTGTACAGCCAGTAGTACGCGTAGCGTTTCGGGCAGGTCCCTGGAATACGATCACCGCCGCGAAGAATCCTTGTTACAACCAAGTACACATTTTACTGTTGAGTTAAACAGAGGCGATTTGCGCCCAGTAAATCCTCCCCGGCCAGGATACGAACCCATGACAAAGCGCTCGCGGAACGCCAGGCGAGTGTCTTACCACTACACCACGGAGACTGAGTATTAAGTAACACAGACTTGAAACTTAACGTAAAAAATGCCTGCTACAGGAACTATCGTCCTCTATTCACTTGCTGCAAAACTTCGTGTAAAACACGCATGAAATTATAATAGTGTGATAAGAGTTATATGTTAACTACAGACATTTCAACATTGGACATTTATGCAATAGAAGGAGGAACTACCTACAATCTGTCAACGATCCCACAATCGCCGTGATAAAAGCAACATTGAAAAACGGTATTATATGGAATTTCATGAAAAGGAAGCATAGAGATCGATCCCCAACCCGCCTATGGCCAGTATTGACCATGTCTTGCCTTGATGGGGTTCCTAGAGTTTTTCTACTTTCCAAGCCCGGCCCGGGGCCAAGCTTTACTTTTGAGAGCTTTGACCAACAGGCTGTAGCTTCGAGCGGTCCGCAGGGCTTCGTATCCACACTGGTTATTCCGGCACTTTTCGAATGAAGCTCTCCAGTTCTCTTACCAGGGTTGTTGATTTGTGGAACCAATTGCCGCGTAACAGGGTGGATGTGGGGTCCCTCGATTGTTTCAAGCGCGGGTTGGACATGTATATGAGTGGGATTGGGTGGTTATTGATAGGAGCTGCCTCGTATGGGCCAATAGGCCTTCTGCAGTTACCTTTGTTCTTATGTTCTTATGTTCTTATGTAAAGACGTCTGTGTGCCAGCAATATTTCTTATGCTTGCTGGGACGATTAACAGCCGTGGACCTCTGATGTTCATGCATTGTTCTCTGTGCCTATGACACCTCTGTTCTTCGCTGTTCATCTCCGAGGAAAGAATTTACTGTGCAAATGTAGTTCAAGCTGGCCTCAAGTGTCTGGACTATCTTCTAACAAACATTCTTTTATACAAGTTTATACCATATAAATACCGCTAGCCGTTTATGCTCTACCAAACAGAGCATTACCAGAAACTGTAGCCTAAGCTCAATAGACAGTCGAAGCGGGGCATGAGCGGAATCGGGAAGGAATCAGGAAGTAAGGAGCCATAGAATGGCTCGCCTGGGCCGCTGCGGCAACCCAATGTTCTGGTGGTGCGATTTTAACCATTAGATACAGACAACCACATCACCCCTACGTGGCATCCCTGCCTCACAATAAGCATCCTTTGTCCTACATCACGCTACCATCACTTTCTCTACCGCCACCATCACCCTCCCTTCCTCCACACGTCCGAAACACCGCAGCTCTGTTGCGAGCGTACTTCCTGCCTTGTGGAGCCTGGAGGGAAAGTATGTACCCGCTCCACAGCCCGTCACATTCACCTTTTGGGTCCCGCGTGGCTAACATTAATACACGTGAAATGTAATCGGAATAATCCAAAAGCGTGCCAGCAATGTTATTTATTACTGTCGTGGGGGTGATCGTGGTGGTGGCGGCGAGCGGGACTACGACGAGGCAAGGTGTGAACCAAGCAGCGGGGGAGAGCCCTTCAGATGGGATAGCAGGGCCCATAGGCACCTTCACCAGCTACAGGAACCCGGGAGTAGGTGGAGCGAGGCGTGCTCACCCACGCCAGACCTCGCCAAGTGTCGCCATGGAGGTCGACCAACGCTCGCCAGGTAAGCCTGGTACCATACCAGGAGGAAATGTATATGTTTATCTCTCAATGTTTGGCAATATGTTTATTATTTGTGATGTGTGTCTATGTATGTATTAACACGATGTACTGAACGGGGTGAGAATAGCTTGAGCTACCTCATCCCTTTGTGTGTATTTTACCTCAATAAACTTATTTCAATTTACCAGGTAAGCGTAGTGCAAAGTTAGTGCGTCGAGGCAAGTTAGGTTTTCAACACATGAACGCCCTAAATAAAATTAGTAGCACATGCGAGTTTAATATCTATAATCTCTAGACCTCTCCAAAGATTACATGTGCCACATATGCTAATTGACATACATTAATACGACGTAAAACTAAAAACATTTTAATAAACTTTATAGAGGTATAAATACACAGGGATGAGGTAGCTCAAGTTATTCTCACCCCGGTGAAACCACTATGGTGTATTCTAGCAGGAACATCAATAAAAAGTTAGGCTTTACATATTTGCGAAATGGGTGGAAAATCTACTCCGTTCCGATTAGTTCAGCTTAATGTTTTGTGGTTAGTTGCTAAAATAAATTAAATAGATATCGATTTCCATTATTTAATGTTAGCATACTAAACACTCCATCGCAAACAACCCCCCACACCACTTCCGTCCCCGCAAACTACCTCCCCCCCCCCCCCCACCACCACCACACCACCTCCCTCACCGCCTGCAAACAATTTTCTCAGCCTGTTGAACAAAATTATATGCAGTCATCTGTAATATAAAACGTTCCAGCCCAAGACTCCGACACCTGACTTACGGAGACCGATCCTCGC